AAGAAGGCATGGAAATGAATACATGAGCCTATGAATCTTCTTGATGAATACCACCACCAACCTTGAGGAAAATTTTACCTAAATGAAGTGAGATAGCTCTTTGAACTAAAAACTTTGATATCATAGACATAGCCTTGAAGCTTAAACTCTTGCCATCCATTGAAGAACCATTTGACTGAGGACCATCCCTCAAAACCCTAGGTTAGATTGTGAGATGGATGTAATTGTGTCATCACCTACAATATGAACATTCAAAAAAAGATATATACATATCTTGATGTTAGTTAAAAGTCAATTCTCCTCAAAACACATGTACAAGATACACAATTCAAGGTGCTTGGTGATCCCTCAAGAGCAAACTTAAAGATAGGATAAGGTAGAATGGGGAACCAATGCTAATGTGTGATCTTGATGTGTTGATAATATGAGATGATGAGAGATCTTAGGGGGAAAATTTGGGGTATAACAGCTGCCCTTATTTAAGTGTCTTCTATCCAGAGATACAAAGGTTAAAATCTTCGTCTCGATGCGATTGAAGATACTTAAATACAAAATAAACCCTATTTTTGGACCTAATATGCCATGCAATGCTTATGATTATGAATGCAAACAAAAAGCCTCACATCGGTGACACGGAACACCACTAGGGAAGCAAAAAATAAAGACAATGGACCAAAAGAGAGTTCAAACAGGAAAATAAATTGTTGGGAAATAACACGACTCTGGGGATGACTATGAACAAGTAAATCCAAAATCATGATTAAAGAAACCAAACACATAGTAAGATTTCAACAGAGGAAACTCTTAACAATGCAAGCAACAAGCTATAAAGGAGGTAACCACTAAGAAAGGATTGCTGGCTTGACTGGAGGTGAGAAACTCAACTCCATTGGAGGAAAAATTAACTCCGCCGGGGAAAAGAAGACTCAACTCCACTGGGGTAAAGCCTAAAGAGGAGACAAAGGACCATCAACTCAACAAAATAAGAAAAAAAGCAATGGGTAACAACAACTGATAGATGATTATGAACTACCCACTCATCGAGGAGATAGCAAAAAGAGAGTAACATTGACTCACAGGGGATCGTAAACTACCAACCTGAAGGACGTGAATAGAAACAATAAGATAATACCAGCTCAGAGATGATGGTAAATATCAATATTGAGGTAGGTAACCAATGATTGACATCAGTACTTATGACTGGAAATAAATGATTGACATTAATAGTTATGACTGGAAACAAATGATTGACATCATTGCTTATGGTTGGGAATAAATGATTGACATCAACACTTATGGTTGGGAACAAAGGTTTGACATCAACACTTATGGCTAGGAATAAAGGGTTGACATCAGCAGTTATGGTTAGGAACAAAGGTTTGACATCAACACTCATGATTGGGAACAAAAGTTTACATAAACACTCATGGTTGGGAACAAAGGTTGACATAAACACTTATGGATAGGAACAAAAGGTTAACATCAGCACTTATGGCTGGGAACAAAGGGTTGACATCAGCACTTATGGTTGGGAACAAAGGTTGACATCAACACTTATGGCTGGGAACAAAGGGTTGACATCAATACTTATGGCTGAGAACAAAGGTTTGACATCAACACTCATGGTTGGGAATAACTCAACTCTATTGGGGTAAAGTCCAATGAGGATGAAGAGATAAATGCCGACTAACGAATGACGGTAAACTACCAACTCAGGGATGAAGGTAGAAAAAACATAGAACAATAACAAGTTTCCCAAAATTCTGGTATTCCACCTAGAACGGGTCTCAACTAATTCTTTAACCAAGGCATTCCACCTGGAAAAGGTAATGAACTTTACCAACTTCTAGATCTCACTGAGAATGGTAAGATTCTCTTCTTTAATCAAGGTGTCACTTGAAAAGGGTAATAACTATTGTAAGAATCTTTCAACGAACTGTCTTTATCATTGGAGTAAAGCCAACCTTAACAATGAATTATCCCCCATAACATAGAGACTACCATTCATCAGAGTAAAAACATCTTCTCTGGCATTAACAAACTTACTCGGGAAGTATATGTTGCTCAAATAAAGAGACTGTCACTTGTTGTTACAAAAGTATTGCAATAACACTGCTGAGAAATGAATTTTGATTTCGTGGGGAAATACCAACACATTCCTACTGAGAGGATAAAGCCTTCATGTGAAAAATAAATACACATTATCAATCCAGGGCTCATAGCCTATATGGATCAAAATAATATTGTTGTCGGGGACCATAAATTCAAACTAGGGGAACAAACCTGAGTGAAACAGTCAACCAAGACGTCATCCAATGAGGAATAAACTCAAATAGGAACCAAATTCCATCCAGATAATGAGTTGGGTAGGAATGCTAAAGCAAAATTCTTCCACAAGGGATAACTCAGTGGGGAAGTTGAAAGAACATACACTTTTAACTTAAGGTTAACACTCTATTAGAGAAAGGATAACATAACTCTACAAAGAGGATAATATGCCAACAAAACACCAATGAGTGCAAATGAACCATGAGTTTTAATTTGACTATGCATGATATATGTATGAATGTATGGATGTTATCATGTATATGTTACAAAACAAACATAATACGCTTAGAATAACCAGACAAAACCATCTTGAGTAGAGACAACACTCGGCTAAATCACATCCAGGATGAAGATTCCATAAGAGAGTAAGCACCAACTGAGGAAACAAAGTCCTTCAAGGCTTAACTTCATTGGGAAGAAACATGACTTGAAAATAATCAAAGCAAAATCTGATAGTAAAAAACCAATACAATTTCAAGGATATAACACCCTCCTCCAGGCTTCACCGATGAATATCATACAAACTTCGCTAGGGAAGACAATGCCACATCGTCTAGACTTCAACTAGGGATACCGTACTGACTTCACTAAGGAAAACAATGCCACATTGTCGAGACTTCAATTAGGGATGCCGTACTGACTTCACTAGGGGAGATCTATGAAACTTCACGGGGATAACAACTTTAAAGGGAAGTATCATCTTCAATTTATCTGGGGAATTAAGAAGTTAACATCACGGTAAGAAGTCAAAATTATGGGGATTTTAAATCAAACTCAACACTTGGCGAGAGAAAATCCAAAAAGTTGACAGTTGTTTCAACACTTCTTAGAAAAGATACTGATCTTGTTCGACTACTTGGGGAGCATACAACAACAACAATTCCATAACTATAGAGAGCAATACTCTGCAAGAGATTCTACATCAATTCTCAACATACAAATGGAGTAAGAAATCCATCAAATGAGCAAAGACTTCATAACTTTACAATCTCCGCTTGATCACAACCCAGCTGGGGAAAGGATCACACTTAGCTAAAGCAATTAACATCAAAACCCGACTGGGGAATATAGGATAAAGGTATCAAACCACCCAAACCAAAAACTGTATAACAACTTAGAGAAAATCTGAACTAGAACTGAACTGGGGAAATGGGATCACAAACCCAACACCACACTATATATCAATTGGTATGAAATCCAACAAACAAAGTAGACTATGCGTATATCAGCAAGAATAATCTGGGATGCTCCTTGGGAAATCTTTTTAAAACTTTGGAGTTGGCCCATCCTTGGAATCACTACTTTTGTCCCACTTGAATCACAAAATTGAGGTAAAAAGTAATTTGCAAATTCTTTTCAAAAACATGTTTTTATTATTAAGTCTATTTGTTTTGAAAATTACTATAAATAACAAATGAAATTTTTGTAAACAGAATAAAATAAGAACTACAAAGAATTGGATAAAGGCTTAAACTTTATTAATTTAATGGTAGTCCTCAAATGGCATGACTCCATGAATGATTACAAAGTTTTCGAAAATGGTAAATACATAGAAAAGATACATTGAAACATAATGACCACTATTATCCCTAACAACTTTGAACTCCTGAGCATAACCTTCAGTTGAAGTGTGATGAGAATTCGAGAAGATTGTTGCTTCAATGATCAAGTCCTATCTGACGCAGTTACTCGCCAGGAAGTCCCTAACTTTTTCCTAGGTTTCCCTTGTGGATTTTCAACCTACCGAGAATATTTATTCTATTTATGTCTCTAACTTTTGCCTAGACCACCATTTCAGATTTTCAGCCTATCGAGACGCTATTTTTTTGCTTAAGCCGCCCTTTCGGATTTTTAACTTAGCGAGTTGTTCTTTTATTTATTTAGGCGAAGTATTTTTTGACTGCATAAGCATTCATGGGACGTGGGAACTCCTCGCCATCTATAATTTCAAGAATCAATGCACCGCCAGAGAAGGCTTTCTTGAGAACATATGAGCCTTCATAATTGGGAGTCCACTTGCCCCTAGAATCAGCGTTAAAAGACATGATGTGTATTCTAACTACTCAAGCTATGTCCTTTGTTGTCAAACAAAAGAAAACTCTTTTGTAACTTTAGTCCAGTATCTTGAAATTCAAACACTCTGAAATAGATAAGTATATGTAATTATGCATAATATCTCAACCAAGTGGGAGGAAAAACATTGCTTATCAGAAGCCTTCCTGATTAAGAGAAATCTTATCATACATTAATTCCAACCTCACCTTTACTATTTGGCACCGTGTCGAAAGTATCCAAGATTAAAAGACTATTTATGTCATACACATATACTTTGTCTTGTAAAATGACAATGAGTCTGCATCATAGAGAAACAAAGTCAGATAAGGTTATTATTAATGGTTGTTTGTTAATTCTAGAGGTGTAAAATTGATTTTGACATGTCTGTTTTCTCAAAAGTAAAAACGATTTTGCTTCCAGAGTTGATTCTAGTTGAAGCTAGGATTGTTCAACTTCAACTCACTTTTACATAAATGTATCCAAACATAAATCATTTTACATCCCTTTTAACCAACATCAATTCACTCAAAATCAATTCTTGTCACCGCAGAAACAAACACACACTTTTCGTGTGACTTTTTCACATAAACTGCGGAAACACATCAAAAACAAAAAGTTCAAATTAGACCACGCATCAAAGTTAAAATCATTCTCAACAACCATAGATAAACACCAATCTGATGACCGACATCCCATAAAATCTTGTCCTGGGGAGTATTAAAGACATAGTGAAGAGCAATAGCGAGTTCAACAACACCTATACTTGAACCTAAATGACCTCTAATTCTTGAAACTCTGAAAACAACATCAGAACGATGTCCATCCGCAAGTTGTTTCAGTTCCTGAATCAAACATCAAAGTTATAAAAAAAATTAAGAACAATGACATTAGTTTTAATTAGAAAAGAAACATCGTAATGATAATACCTTGGTTGAGAGATTTTTCATGTGAATTGGATAGTTAATCGTGTCTAGTATTGGAGTTGGAGTCTCTGTCGAGTCAACATATGAACCTCATCCACAAAATCTTAATAAGAAGTATCGATTATATTGGGCCAATGGTATAAAGATAAAAATATTCTTATTAAAAACAAAAAATAGTCTTTTTTTATACTATAGTTGAAATAAATATTATTTATTAAATCTATTAAAAAGAATATTATGTATTAATAAATATTATACATTTTGAATATAATACATGCCTTTGTTATGATATATACATTTGCTTCTATATATTTAAAAGAAGTCATCAACGGCCTAGTGGATAGGACAATTTTTTATATAAAAATAATAATATAAAATGCCATCTGAAATTTAAAAACAAAAAAATGTCAACAAACCGTTTACGTCATAAAAATTAATAATAAAAAAGTGTTATATCAAAGATTCTACTAAATGAATTTTAAAATATCAATAAGTGATTTTTTTTTTAAATTCGTTTAAATAACATAGAAGAAAATACCTATTAACCCATTATTGTATATGTATTATACTATGAATTATAATACAAAGTCTTTCCGATCTGTACGGTGGTAATTACAGTAAGACTATTAAAATATTGTGTACTTTGTAAAGGAATTATATATGCATAATTTTTATGGGGCTATAATATTATTTTAATTTTAGTAAAAATTCTCTTTTCTTAAGGGCATAATTTGCTATTTGAATGATAAGTTACATTGTGTGAATTGCCAAGAATATGTTTTGGTCAAATTGTAGAAATAAATTTTTATAGACATATATTTATGATGAAGGAAAAATAAATTGTGTGCTTTTTAAGGATAGTATTTGACATGACTAACATGTTTGATTGAAATTCTTTTTGTAAATAATATGTTTTCAATGAAACTTATTATTATAAGAAATTTAAAGAAGGATCGTAATATATAAAATTTATATAAATATTTAATCAAAATATATTATAAATAATTTGTGCATCGTCAATGTAAAAAAATATTACACAGATATTCAATCAAAATATGTTAAAGTATAAAATCATGAAAATATTTTAAAATTTAAAATGCGACTTTTTACATGATTGTCGTTGATTGGCAATATCCATTCATTCTCTCTCTCTCTCTCTCTCTCTCTCTCTCTCTCTCTATATATATATATATATATATATATATATATATATATATATATATATATATATATATATATATATATATATATATATATATATATATATATATATATATACACTTTTGAATTTGAAGTCTAATGTAAGTATTGAATTCTGAGATGTGGAATTTTGAGAATCTTTCACAGAAGATATGGATTTTTAGATTCCTACATTTGAAGAATCTCGTGAAGAAGGTTCTTCATGGATTGTTGAAACACAAGTCAAAAGTTCGTCAAGATTGTCGAAAAAATAATTCGAATTTAGAATAAGCAGAAAGTTTGAAAAGCTAAGGATCTAGGATCGAACAAAATTGATTATTGACATACTTCTTTCATCTAGTAGAAGAAAATAGTGAGAATTTTGTTTGTAAGATTCCTATTATTCTTCAAGAGGAAGATGATCTAAGATTTACAATGAAGAAGTAACTTCAAGAGACTTCTCTTGAAATAATGTTATCCAAGACGAAATGAATTAAATAATGTCAAACCACACTTGAGAACTTGTCGATTTACCTAAAAGATAAAAACTCATTGGATGTAAATAGATGTTTAGAAGGAAGTATCATAGTAATGGTACATTAAATATCTACAAGGATAGATTAGTAACCAAAAGTTTTAAATAAAAGGAAGGTGTTGATTATTTTGATATATATATGCAGTAGAAGCAAGCACAATGAAAATTAGAGTTTCATTTGCATTAGTTTCCTTGCACGACCTTATAATTCATCAAATAGATGTCAAAATTATATTCTTAAATAGAGATCTCGATGAGGAGATTTACATGGAGAAATCATAAGGTTATATGCTTTCTGGTAATGAATAAATAGTGTACAAGCTTGTAAAATCCTTGCATATATTAAAATATGCACCGAAAGAATGACATCAAAAGTTGAACTTTGTCATTACAAAAATTCACCTATTAAGGGGAGACACATAACTTAGAGGAAGACTTTTCAATCTTATCAAAACAAGAATTCAAAGAGTTTGTCATCATAAGAAAAGGTGGGAGACTGTGAAGAATTCATCTTATATCTAGTTTTGATGAAGACAAAGATTATCAAAGAACAAAAGGATCAAAAGTGTCATGCACGTCAAGGATGAAGTTGATCAAGAAGCTTTAGTATAGAAATTCAAATGAAGATTTGAGAGAAGTGAACATAACTAAGGTACTCATTTCAATTCATACTATACTACTTTAAATTGCTCAGAATTTCATCTCTCACTTCATCTAAACCTTCTTGCATCATTATACATGATCATTTAAAGTATTTCTCCATCTAATTCTTGTAACAAATGTTTATACACAAAGTTATGTGAGAATAATATGTTGATCATATGATTAATCATTAACAACAAGGTGAATGGAACTTTAGTTACAAGAAGGTTTCTAACTTTCACATTCAAGATGAAAGATCTTGGACTAGTTGACATAATTTTAGAGATAAAAGTAAAGTAAAATAGTGGGGGTTATGAGCGTAGTCAAACACGCTATATTGAGAAAATGTTTGATAAGTTCAAACACTTACGCTTCAAGGAAGTGACCACTCCATTTGATCCTAGTGTCGAATATTAAAGAATGATGGAAAAGTTGTAATCAATTGAAATATGCAAGTACAATTTATTGTCTATAGTAATTCATGCAATATGCTAGACTCGACATAGCATTTTCACTTAGTAAATGAGTAGATTTACTAGCAATCCAAATAGTGAGCATTGGAAGGCCATCACACAAATTTTTATATTATATTTTAAAACCAAACTCTTGATCTCTAATATGGTACACTTCCTGCCATATTAGAAGGATATACCAATGTGAGTTGGATATTGAGTGTTGGAGATCATAAATTTATAATTGAGTATATATTTACACTAGATGGAAGTGTGGTTTCTTGTAAGAGAAGTAAACAAACATGTATTAACCTTTTGACCATAGAATTAGAGTTTGTGGCTCTCGTTTCCGTTGGTAAATAAGCTAAATAGTTGAAGGACCTTCTATTGAAAGTTCCATTGGCAAAAGACAATGTTTCAAAGGTGCTAACACAATGTGATAGTCAATCTAATTTAGAGAATTCAGATAACTGTATAATGGAAAGTCTAGGTACAAAGGACTTAGACATTCTTTCATGAGAAAATTGATTAAAGATGTAATCATTTCATTCACATATATATGATCGATCTATAATTTGATGATCCATTTACTAAACTACTGGGAATATATTTAGTAAAGACTACCTTGAGAGGTATGAGATTAAAACTCCTTGAATAAGGGTTCCGACAACGATAGCAACCCAATCTGAAGTTAACAAATCTTAACCTAAGATTCAATGAGTACCAACAAGTCATTGATTTGGATGTTTCTGCAACATTTTGTGACAATGTTGACTATTACATATTGGGGGTTGGATTTTTCAAACTCTTAATGAAGTTCTATATCGAGGATATTTATTTCAAGAAATAGATACAAATTGAACTTCACCTATATGCATTTTGAGATGGTGTCGTCTCAAAGTGAGAGTTGAAGTTTCTCTCATGAAAAATTCATGAAAAATAGGAAAAGCACATGACCATATATAGTGTTAGGCGAGTGATAAGTGCAAATTATAATTATTTTTGTATATACTTTTTATTTCACTTATCGATTCTTTGTTGTTAATATCAGTTGAATAACCCCATTTTTTTGTAAATACGTTTAATTCATTTTGTATACATATTGTATCGTTTGATTAAGTTTTGTATATATTTTGTAGGTATTTGAGCATTGTTGGAGCAAGAGGAATAAAACTCCAAGATGCATTTTTGATCAATGAAGAATAAGGCAAAAGATGAAGCAATTCCAAGTTATGCAGTATAAGCAACGAAAGTTGCTGAACTGTCTTGCATCGCCGGGAGAAATGCATGTCGCCAGACGACGGTGGACGAGAAGATCTAATTTTGATGTTGCATCTGCCTTGCTTCGCGTCTAGGTCGCCAGAAAAAAAATAAAGAATGTCGTCGGACGAAGCATTGTGTCGCGGGGCGACGTTAAATATTTTTTTTCAGTTGAGGACGTGGCTTATCCTGGGCCAAGTGAATAAGAGACGTCGCCGAGCAATGCTTTTAGGATTGTTGGGTGATTTTCGGGGAACACATTTTCTTTATACTTTTATTTTGTTTCATTTTGGATGGATGGTTTTGGAGGTGATTTTTGTTCTCCCAATTCCATCAACCTCATTTTTATAGTGGATTAGCTTAGATAACAACACTAGGGCTTTGCTTATGGATGATTGAAGGTGGATTTATCATTGACCGGCGCTGACAAACCGGGATATTTGTGGTTTATCTCTTCTCCTCTCTATGTATTTCTATTTTGTTGGGTTTTGTATGTATTTTACTTTGAACTTATGTATATTTTTCACCCATGGAGTTATATTAAACTTGCTTTACAAATCTTTGTTGATTGTTGTCTTAGATTTTTGCTATGTGCTAGGGATTTGAATTGTTATAGACATATACTGCTTAGATTCTTATCTAGGATGATTACCTGTTAGTTTTTGAAATCTAGAGATAGATTTAGAGCTGGCATCTATTTGGGTATCAAAGCTTAATACCTCTGTGGTTGTGTAGTGCTGAGAGACCGTCAGTGCGATTACATAGTTGTCTTCTGTGTTGTTTATGAGGTAAAGAGATCATTTCCTTGATGATATAATCGGTCTCTCAATTTGAGTTAGAAATGACTTAGATTGTGAGTGATACGTAATGACATTTATGAGTATTGTTAGATTGAATGTAATTGGTCAGTAGATTTAAGTCTGTGATGAGTAGATTATATGCAGGCTTGATAACTTCTTCCTTAGTTTTTTCTTTTGCTTACATTTATTTTTTGTTGATAACATTTTCTTTACAAAACCATTCTATCCCAAACTCATTAACGAGAGATTTATCGAACGACAATTCAATAATCAATCCATGTGGACACGATATGATATAACCTTATCATCCGGTAAATTAATAATTTACTTTTTATTTGCCGCTATACCGCCGCAACAACGAGAGATGTAAACGAAGAATCATTAAAGATTGTGTGTATGACAACGCCGGTATAATCACATAGGATAACGATTCAAAACATAGCTACCTAACGTTCTGATTAGGCTTTGCGTTGTCTTTACTAAGGTTAAGTTCAAATCGAAAGATACTTAACTGTATTAACATTCTTTTGTTTCCTTTTATTTTTGAAATTGATATTGTCATTATTAGAACAAGTGGGAGATTGTTATAAATTATTAACAATAATTAGTAATTATGAGTGTGTTCCAAAATGACAAAAAAATATGTTAGTGAAGTTGTTCTTTGAATTCGAAAAGGCAACAAACACTTAATGAAATGTTGCAAAATGAAAACATGCAACTCTTGAAATATATTGATGTATGCCAAACATTATAACTTTAACTAAAAAGATATTGTTTTACAAAGAGTCGCTACCTTGTGAAACAATACATATATGACCTATAAATACTTCATTCTGGATTTAGAATTTCAGTAACAAAAAACATATATGTTCTTCACTAAAATTCTAGACACTCTTTGCTACATTCAAGTTTTCGTCGGTCTTGCACAAACTCTATATAAAACTGAATTATTCTGGATATTCCTGCATATAAACTCTAAGACAATTTGAGAGTGTTTGAAATACTATAAAAAAAGTGATTCACTCACAATTTTAATCTCGATTCATTTAACTTGAATTAATTTTCTAAGATAGACTACTCAACAAAAAAAAACTATTCAAACAAAAAAATAATAACCTTAAAAATAAATAACAATTAATTTAGCCTATATGTTTATCACTACTTTTTACGAATTTGGATCCTAAACCTTTAGATTCATCTAATAAGAGGAGAGAGAAAAAAGTAAAATGAGTTTAAACCATTAGATTCAAATTCAACCCTGGAGTATAGCACATGAGAGGTGGCTGCAGATAAAACGCTGGAGGGGATCCATATCCACTTTTTACACTTTCGAGAATCTTCTACTTATAAGAAAATTAGTGTGATAAAGTGATTATTTAAAAAAGGTTGAAAACATAAAATAAAAAGTGAAATGATAAAAAAAATTAACACATCACTCTATTTAAATTTTTTAAATTGAGTTTTTTCGTTGTGAAATGATAAAAAAAATAAACACATCACTCTTTGTTTAAAATTTTCAAATTGAGTTGTTTTCCTTGTCATAAATCCACACTAGCCGCTACTCCAAAGTTCAAATTTCTGAAACAGAAAACGCTCTCCCACTCTTTCCGTCAACAAACCACTTTCACGGCGGAATCATCAACGTCCACCGCCGATTAACCTTGATGAACTCCGATTCAGATTCATCTCTGAGAAACAACGGTGCCAACGATCGTCGCCTCAGCATCATCGACTTTCTATCCGCCGATGATTCGCTTCTCGATCCTGTTTCTTCCAATCACCAAAATTCAGGTCACATTTCGTTAATTTTTTACTTCGTATTTTGAGATCGGATGAATCTTTTTCAAATCGATACTCAAAGTTTCAGTTTCATTCTCTTTGTTGTTTTTCAGAAAACGAAGCTTGGTACACTCCGAATTCGAAGAAGTTCGAAGACGCTGCTACCAAAATTGATCAGTGGGAGGATGAACCTCAAGCTTCTGAGAAAAAGACCATGAGAAACCCTAAATGTAATTTGCGCAAGAGTTTAGCTTGGGACAGTGCTTTTTTCACTAGTGCTGGTATATTTTTATTTTTATTTAAACTCTCGTTTTTTCCTTTTTTTAAATTAAATTTATTGAATTAGGATTTTGAATAGTTTGGTTTGTATTTGAATTTTGAATGGTGTTTATTAGGGGTTCTGGATCCGGATGAGTTGTCTAGTATAATTGAGGGTGTTGAGAAGGAAACGTTACCGAGGGTCGAAGAGGATGTATACAAATCATGTGACTCCGTTTCGACATTAGGGAGTGATAGTTTGACTTTTGAAAGTGCTGATTTGGAGGGTGATTTGTTTGATGATGTAAGAGCTTCAATTCAGAAATCTAGCCATAAGTCCAAACTTGCAAATGCAGCTACTAGAGTATCCTCTGCCTCTGGACTACCAGGGTTACAAACTCGTGAGTGTTTGTTTTCACTTTGCATATTCAGAATAGATTGTGTGCTGGTTTGTGCTTAATTAGTTCAATTGATGATTCTTTGATGTTTTGTTTTTCAGCATCCAGAAAAGTTGCCGCGGTTACTCGCAACAAGGTAACTCACATTAATGATAGCGACTAAAATATTTTTGTCGTACTGTATTCGCGCGTGTACATACATTTTCTTCTTATTGCAACTACTGTATAATATTTTCTATTACTGAGTGAGATTGGTTACATTGATCAAAATATGACACAATGTCCCATGTCCTAGGTGTGGATAGTTTCCTTCTTTAGAAACTCAGGCTATAATTCTTTCTTTGAACTTCGGCTTGAGGAATGTATAGTTGTCGTGTTATAGACTGAAACCGTGTAGCCTAATTGGCTTCTATTTTGGTAAACAATAAAATCATGTCAGCAATAACTTTCTGTTGATTTTAGATGAAGGCCCCACCAACCCCTAGGAATCCAACAACACCAGTTGTGAGAGGAATTGGGAAGGCTACAAGCAAGAATACTTTTACACAAATTCCACAGGTATGCAACTAAATTAAACTGCTGAAGAGAACTAGTGCCATTTATAATTATACTAAACCACAATTGTCTTATTTTGAAAAAGCCTCTTGCTACAAGGAGGGAATCATCTATTTCAAAATTATCGAAGTTACCAGTTAGGCCTATTGCAAGTTCCACAATTTCAGCCAAGAGAGCATCACTTAGCGGACTGCATGCCAAAAGTGAAAAGGACAGAGCAAAACACATAATTGGTGGTTAGAACTTGCCTTAGAATTACTTTTTTTTTTGTTCTCATTTTGGCACTACCCTTTCGAGTTATAGTAAAAGTAAACTCATTTTTATTTGACCTCTTCAGATAGAGTCAGCTCAATGTCTAAAGCATCTGTTATTGGAGGTGGTTCACGGGTTACAGAGCCTAAGCGCACAATATTATCCAAATTAACTTCTGGTCAGTCAGCATCAACCAAGGCAAAATCAGTATCTTCGACATCTTTTGGTAGCAATTTATCTGATAATATTGGTAAATCTCCAATTAATTCTGCAAGAAGAAAAGTTATTGCGGGAAATTCAAAGCCTCCCTCATCTCGCCCTCCGGTCAAAACACCGTCAGGTTTTGCTTCAAGAAATAAAATTGAATCTGTGAATTCTAGTCTCTCAAGCTTGATATCTGCCAACAAGCTTTCTTCTAGTGTTTCCCCAGCTAGCTCCTGGTCTTCAGAGACATCCATATCAGCTTCTATGACTAAGTACATGTGCGATAGTTCAAGGTCCAGCATTGATAGTTGTTGCAGCAGAAAGGTTTTCTCAGAAACTAACGCAGATCAAAGTATAAATTCTCAGATTCCTCAGAGCGATTTGAGCTTAGAAGGGCAGGCAGCTCAGCACTCTGGAATTATCACTCCAAGTATAAGGACTGCTTCTGTGGCAGCAGTTATTCCCTCAGCTCTTGCAAAACCTTCAGGCCTGCGCCTGCCCTCGCCAAAGATTGGTTTCTTCGATGGGGTGAGTTTTTCCACCTTCTTTATGTTTGATATAATCATAAACATAGTTTGAGAGAAATTTGGAGAAATTGTACCACTTTGGTCAGACATCTTGAAAACCATGTATTGGTTTTTCTTTGGGTGTAATATGTGCATCTGTAAGCGAAGACTTTTTGTATTTAGGATCTATATCTTCATCTCTTTATTACATTGCATTTGTTGAAACAATCTCGTAATGTTATGCAGGTGAAATCCTCAGTGCGCACTCCACGTGGGGGAGCGCAACCACAATCTGCTGTGCTTCATGGCTTGCTAAAACATGGAGCAAGAAGTCCAAGTGAAGGGCAAAACAAAGCTATCACACCAATTGGAAGCAAAATAATTGATAATCAGAAAAGTCCTCATCCAAGTCATTTTGATGAATCATTAGATGTTGCAATTAAGGAAAGTAGTGCAGTGCAAAATATCAGAAGCTCTACTGAAATGCTCAAGGGTGCTTTTAAAAATGTTGAATATACATCACTTTTGCAGGAAATGCAGAGCAGCACTAATCATGATTTGCGTCAACTCACTCGTGTCAATCACCAGGAAAATGTTAATCATGATAATCAAATTGATTGTTTGATCAAACAAGTTGGACTCATGGATATAAATTCCGCGACACAGGAAAAGGTCAATGGAGATTCTCTTTCTTTTTGTGAGACTGATGTCAGCTTTCAAGATAAATCCTATGGTATGGAGTTATCAAAGCACGGGGAGTTTTTTAATCATCCTAAAAACCAGGAATTATCGAAGGGTTTGTCTACTCCAGGTCTATGTGTTGCTCCAACCAGCATTGATATTGCAACTTCAGCAAGAAGACCCTTTGCAGCAAAAGATTCATTTTTCAACATGGATTGCCCTGTTTTCACCGAACCATCAATTTCAGAGGTAAAACTGACTAAGATACTTGTGCCTGAAAGCCGCATTACGAAAGATAGCATCTGAGATGCTAGGATCGAGTTGAACTACTTAATTTTTCAGTTTGCTGCTTTGTGCTAAAAGTGAAACTGTAGAAGTCGTGATCTTGAAGTACTGTGTCAAATTACGAACACCAAGTCTAGAAGTACTTGTTCTACCGTTTATTTCTATGTGACAGCATCTCTTTTTCAAGGGTTCATTGTCATGAATCCTTTTTAGACTATATATTTTGAACGGGAAAGGTGTCTTGTATCTTATTTCATTTTCTTACCATTTGAGAATTTAAATGCATGATATGATATTATTTTCTTTGCCATTTTGTTTAAGAGAAAAGAAGTGATGTCAACCAATCACAACCCTATGAATATTAAGTGTTCATAAGTTTGATCTTGTTGTTTGATTTGTTGGAACAAGCACAAAGTTTGTACGGTGAATCAATGGGAAAATGTGGTTAATTTGAGAATATGAAGTTAAAGTGAATTTGGAGGTTGAGAGAGAGAGAGTAATTAAAGTAAAAAATGGCATTAACAACATGAGGAAGTATTTATAGGATACAAGGATAAGGGGTGGCAAAACGGGTTGGGCCCCCCTGGTTGGCCCGTTTGACCCGCTTTTTTTGGTGGGTTGGGTTGAGGTTTTCGACTCGGTATCTTAAGTTGGTCAGTCCCGCCTAACCCGCTTAAAAAAGCGGGCCGAGGCGGGACGGGACGAATTTTCCCCGCAGATTTTTTGTTAAAACTTGTACTCTTTTTATTAAGAATTAAAACAACTTTAACTATAAAAACAACACTTATCTCTTAGGATTGTATTATAAATTATTATACAAACAAATTGAACCATAATTGTAACGTTCTTTCTATAACTTTTTAATACATGCGTTGATTGAAAATAATTGAAATAAAAGAAAAAATGTATGACATGCATAATTATTAAGTTTTCAATATATTAGCTCAAATATTTTTTTAAGAAATAGATGTTGATTTTAAGAAAATGAAGAATTTGATTAGTGTATACGTGTGACAATAGGATTTAACTATTAAAGAATTGTCAATATAAGAGTCTATATAATGTAAACAGTGAGAAAATTTGATGTTGATATTTTACGCATTACTATTTTATGCACTGGTGTTTTATGCAATGTTATTGTTATCATTCTTGATTTTGTGTAAATTCTAAATTGGGTTCTTTTAGTAGTTAGTTTTTAAATAGCATTAGGATGATATGTATTGTTTTTTTATTTTGATATTTTTTATTGTGCTTGAGTTTATTTTATTTTTTTGTTATAATTGGTCTTTATTTATTAAATTTTTTGAATTTTTTGGACTTAAGACATTTTGAAGTTCTATTATGCGTTGTTAAAAAATTTCGTTATCAACCTCTTTGGTAATAATTAAATTTTTTCTAAATTATGTATTAAATCAAATTGTAAAATTAAAAAAATTAAAAATTGGCGGGCCGACCCGTCAACCCGCCAACTCGTTAGTAAATGGGGCGGACTTGACTTTTGAGCTCGGACCCCTAAGTTGGTCCGTCCCGCTCCGCCCCACTTTTGGACAGACTTAAACGGGGCAGGTCGCCCGCTTTGCCACCCCTAACAAGGATACAACTTTCGAACAAAAAACAGATCTAAAAACAGCTGTAAAAACAAAAACATGGGGAGGAGATCGATTTCTCAAAAGGGGATAATCAATTTCCTCAACTAAAAACAGAAATCCAATACTGAACTGGACTGTGGAAATCGATTTTTCCAAATTGGGTAATCGATTTTCTCTGCGAAAATTCCAAATTTTAGATTTCCAAAAGTATTTTTTCAATAAGTTATTTTTAACGAAACGATCCCAGAAGCTTCCACAATACATTTAAATTATTAAGGACTTCCAATACACCACCTTAATTCAAATGCTCAAAGTATTTCATATGTCTAAACTCATCACAAGCTTCTTGAACACCACATTTAATACACCTTTCGGTAACAAATCCGCAACTTGTTCTTCACTTCGATAATATCCTAACCTCAGCTAGTCTGTATACACCAGATCCTCCAAGTAATGAAAACTCATATCAATATGTTTTCTCATCCCATGTGTTATGGGATTCTTAGCATGATTAATGACTGAAACATTATCAACCAAAAGTGTGACAACTTTTTCAACTTTGCTGCCCAGTTCTTCCAGCAGATTCACAAGCCACATAGCCTGACACGCAAATAACGATGCAACGATATACTCAGACTCACAAGAAGAGAGTGCCACCACAAGTTCCTTTTTAGAACACCAAGAGATTGGTGCTCCTCATAACATAAAGATATAATTATCCGTATACTTTCAATCGTCTTTATCTCTGCACCAATTGGAATTCGTCTAATCGAGCAACTCACACTTTCTGCCCGTATCAGCTGCGGGAAAGAGAATTCCACAATCAAGAGTTCCTTTGACGTATCTTAGGATCCTCTTAACTGCTGCAACGTGAGACACCTTCGGTCTCTCCATGAATCTACTCGTAATACCGATACTAAATGTCAAATCTGGTCGTGTATTGCACAAGTAACATAATGATCCAATGAACCTCCTATATTACGTTGGATTCACATTCTGCTAATCATCACTTTTGGACAACCGCAACCTTGTTTCAGCAGGTGTATTGGCAACATTATAATGCTCCATATCACATCTTTTTAAAATCTCAAGATCATACTTTCTTTGATGCATGAGCAGTCTCATTTTTTACTTGTGGAACTTTATGCCAAGAAAGTAAGTCATGATTTCAAGGTCACTCATTTCAAATTCTTCCATAAGCTCAATCTTGAACTTAGAAATACTCATTTCATTGTTTCCCGTGATCAATAGGTCGTCCACATATAAGAAAAGTATGATCACATCTTTGCTTGCATCCGTCTTCACATAGACACCATGTTCGGAAACACATTTCTTGAAGCCAACTTCAACTAGGAAACCATCAATGTGTTTTTTCCAAGCTCTATGATCTTGTTTCAAACTATAAAGCGCTTTCTTCAGTTTGTAAACTCTTCCCTCTTGATTCATCACAACAAAACTAAGGGGTTGCTCTTCATAAACTTCCTCCTCAAGTGGAACATTCAAAAACGCGGATTTCACATTCATTTTATACATCGATCAATTTGTTCTATTTGTAATACCAACAACCAACCATATGATTTCTATTCTAGCTACATGTGCAAACACCTCATCATAGTCTACATCTTCTCTTTGCAAAAATTCCTTCGTAACTAGTCGAGCCTTATGCTTGATAATTTTACCTTTTGGATTTTCCTTCACTTTATAGACCCATCTCACTCCGATTATCTTTTTTTTTGTTCTGGTAGATCAACCAGCTCCCAAGTATTGTTGTTCTCAATTGATTCCGGCTCCTCTTTCATCGCGCACACCTATTTTGGATTGCTTAATGCCTCCTTTGTGCTCACGGGCTCGGATTCGGCCATAAGCGTAAAGTGAATAAGATTACCATCACTATTGATCTCATTATCATGGAATACTTCACAATCTTGGAGCCTTTGAGGTAGAATTTTTTGCCTCGTTGGTCGTATACTGGATTCTGCGTTTTCGACTTTGATTGGCTGCTGAACTGTACCTACATAATTCTGGTTTTCTGCATTTTCATGTGGAAATTGATTTTCAGAAAGTGGGGAATCAATTTCCTCTTTTGAAAAACCAGTTCCAGCAGCTCCAGGATGCAAAAATCACAAAGGAAATCGATTACCGTCATCTAGGAAATCGATTTCCTCAATTGTCATGGACTTTTTTATGCTGTCAAACAACCTTACCTCATTCACTACCATATCTCGACTTATTACAATCTTATTGCTTTTCATATCAAACAACTTATAACCTTTGGTAGGATGATAACCAACAAGAAACATCATCTCTCCTTTGTCATCCAACTTCTTTCGAAGCTGATCCGAAATATGTCGAAATGCTAGTGAACCGAAAACTTTCAAATAACTTAAACTTGGTTTAAATCCAGACAATGTCTCATATGGAGTCACCTTATCCAACTTCTTTGTAGGGCACCTATTGAACAAATAGGCGGCTGTAGAAACTATACACTCCAAAATAAATAGATTTTTTATTTAATTAATTTACTATGAGTATTTATGAATTATTGGTGAATATATGATGTTTTGGTGAATTATTGATGGTTTGATGTGTGATGTATTGTTGATTATGTTGTGTTGTGGGGTAGAGTGTATTAAGATGAATATGAGGATTATTTATATTTTAGATAATTAGTTCTAATTATTTATAATTATTATTATTAATAAAATAAATAGAATATATGGTGTAGAAGTGTTAAGGGCAAGGTGGTAATGTTATGAGGATTCGTGAGGGTAAGATGAAAAAACCATAGAAAGGGTCCAATGATTAAACAAGGAAAAGTGAGTGTCAGTGTTTCATTATGTGGAATCGTGAAAGAGAGAAGAGCATAGTGAAGAGCTAGGGTACAAAGAGAAGAGGCAGAACCCATCTGTAGAGCTTGGAACAAGAATCGATTACTAGAAATCTAAGGTAATGAGGGGTTATCCTTATTATTATGATTGATATAGGGTTTAGATATATGTAGGTTATTTGGGGTTTTATGATGAATTTGACAACATGATGATTATGATGAAATAAATGATGAAATAGATGATGAAATTGGTGATGTATTGATGTTGTGATGTTATGAACTGGCGTATATGATGCCTATTATAATTAGTTATTGTTGTGTGATGAAAACATGTGAAATTGTGAGTTTTGAGTCTGTTTTGGTGTAAAATCACAAGAAAATGGGATTGGACTGTGCAGAAAATGCAACGGTAAAGTTGATGTTTCGCACGACTCACCTGGTGCGCCTTATGCTTTGTCGGGCGAAGTAGATTCGCCTGGGCAGCGCCGGGAGAGAATGAAGCGAGAGGATTTTTGGTGTTTCTGAAAAAATGTATGAGAAGGGTTTCTCGCCCTAGCTTCGCAAGGCGGAAGAGCTGGCAAGCGTAAGCTTCGCTAGACAAATGA